GTGGTTTTTCCCATCACGATTCTGACTCAAGACTCAGCTTCTTAGACTGTGGGTCACATCACTGAATGTGGGGCTCGTGGCAAATGTGGCAACAGTGAAAGTCTTGCAAACGTAGAACTACCAAAAATTAATTCCAAAGCAAACAGGTAACACACCTGGGATGTCCCCGGCGGTCTTCACCCATGTTGTATCACGGGGACCTCACCGTAACGTTGGTTCCGAACACACAGAGTCCACTTTGCGCTGTGCATGCTGTCTGTCTGACATACCTCGGCTCACCTGCGAGGCTCTTCTACGTTATGAGTTGCATTGTTTCTACTCTACAAGACTTTTGCTTTTAGAACAACATAGTGGTTTGATTTTAGGAAGCAAAGACTTTAAAAAAAATGTTCGGGCTGGAGGAATGGCTGGGCATTGAAGAACACTGACCGCTCTCCCAGAAGACGTGGGTTTGATTCTCAGCACCCAGTGGTGGCTCACAACTGTCTGTCACTGCAGCCCCCCTCCTGGCCTCCCCAGGCACCAAGCACACACAATGTAGACATACATGCAGGCAAAACACCCATAACCATTAAATAATAATAATTTTTAAATTGTTAAATGAATTCTGGCTTGCTATTAGAATAGAATTTTTAACCATCTCTGAAACGGCTATGAACACACTTCTGCCATTTTATGATTATGCAAAGCAGCATGCTCAGCACTGATTATTTATAAAGCAAAATATTGATCAACCTCAAAGAATATTGAATGTCTCTACATCTTGCAGTATCAAACATTCAGCCAAGATTTAATTTTACATTTAAATAAACAAGCACATCCTTCTTTTAAGTGTAAACATTTCTTTCCTCTTAAATAAATGGTGAATTGCTACATACACCAAAGGATTGTTTAAAATACATTTCTTTATGATTTACTATCAATAAATGTTTGATTTTTAGTCCTATTTGGTATATCTGTACATGCAGGGTTGCATTAATTTCTGCGGTGATGAGGGGTCACAAGTGGGAAATGTTTATTAAGAGACCCTGTTCTGAGAGAGTGCCCAGGGCAATGGCAACCCACAACAGGAAGGAGGAAGCTTCATTTGCTCCCCAGACAAGGTGTAGGCTAACTGGGAAGGACAGTGTGCATTCTGCTGTGGGGGCACAACCAGACAGAACACTGGTTTCTTGTGAGGCTGAACGCTGCCTCAGAATCCTTAACACATGACTCAGGCCGATGAAACCTAGTCACCACCCCTCGGTGGAACAGATGACTCGAGGTCAACTCTCTCTAACAGATCTCAGTGGCAGGAAGAATGCTTGGATGACAGGGGACAGTGTGGTAGTCACAGACATCATGGAGGCTTCGGACTCAGATCCCTGCTGCCGTCAATTACAGTAGAGAGGAGAGTGGAAAAGAAAACCATCGCTTTGATTTTTTGTTTCCAAGGATCGGAAACCCAACAGCATGCCCAAGAAAAGTTGAAGAGAAAATAAGGGTTGCCGGGCAGTGGTGGCGGCACACGCCTTTAATCCCAGCACTCGGGAGGTAGAGGTAGGTGAATCTTTGCCAGTTCGAGGCCAGCCCTGGTCTACAGAGTGAGCCAGGACAGCCAGGGATACATAGAGCCTGTCTCAGAAAAAAAGAAAGAAAGAAAGAGAGAGAGAGAGAGAGAGAGAGAGAGAGAGAGAGAGAGAGAGAGAGAAAAGGAAGAGAAAAGAAAAGAAAAAAGAAAAGAAAAAAGAAAAGAAAAGAAAAAAGAAAAGAAAAGAAAAGAAAAGGAAAGGAAAAGAAGGGTCTAAGGTCAGGGGAGACCCCAGCTGGAGCAAAGAGAGAATGTCGCTGAAGTCTTCCAGGTGGACCGTCATCTCCCACAAAGAGCAGAGAACAGTGGAGGATGGAGGCTGTACCTCCAAACCACGTAGGGAGAAACGAGAAAGTGATGCCAGATACAGGGAGAATCCGGGCGGAAGTACTCACGGATGCCCTCTCTTGTCTAAGACAAGAACAGTGATATGTCCGCCGGAAGGGTCCAGCAAGCATCCCAACCACCAACACAGAGAGAGCATTTTCAGAACTGGGACGTGGGTGGACGCCACCTGTACGGTTTGGTGGCTGAGAAGATAAGGAGTGTAAAACTGTTCTGTGTAGACATTTGCAGGCACAGCTGGGAGCAAAGCCATTGCGCGGGGCTGACCGGAAGGAACGACAGGACGGAAGTGAGAGAGGGAAATGGGACCTGGACAGGAGGCCGGAGGCCTGGAGGGGGAACAAGGAGGATTTCTTCTCAGAATGAGTTGGCCCTTACTTCACGATGAACTTCACATTTCCTCAAGAGGTTCTTAGCGCCAGCTCAGACTGCCATCCTTTGGTTACCGTATCCTCCGTCTCTAGCAAAATGCCAGGCACAGAATGCTAAAAAAAAATCAAAATGGATGAAGTGGCTGCTTGACAGTTTTGTTTTGTTTTGTTGAGACAGGGACTTGCTGTGTAGCCGGGACTGACCTCAAATTTGTAGCCCTGCCTCAGCCTCCCACGTGCTGGGACAGCAGGTGTGGGCTGCCATGGCTCAGCTGACCTCATCCCTCCTCAGACATGGAGGAGTTTTTAAGGTGGGTGCTCTTGAAAGTCAGGGGGTGGTCCACTCACCAGGAGCTACACTCTTTTTTAAAATCACACTTACTGAGTGCGATGCGTGAGGTCAGTCCTCTGCTTCCGCCACATGGTTCCTGGGAATCAAACTCAGGTTGCCAGGCTTGGTGGAAAGCACCTTGACCCACCCACCAGGTCACCAGCCCCAGGAGGCCACACTCGGAAAGAAAACTGACTTTCTCTCTCCCTCTCCCAGCAGCTAACAGTTACCAACAGCTCCTCAGCTAGGGGTGGGCCACATTCCCAGCCCTCCTCTCCACGCTGGCGTTTGACCAGGCTTGAGCTTGCACATGGCTTCCGCAGACTCTCACAGCCACCGTGAGTTCGTTCATATTTACAGCTCGTATTTACTTCTTACACAGTCAACTTATGTGAAAATCTGCTTTTGGGGAACTCTAAAGTTTGAAACAATACGGGCAGACCCATTGCAACCTTATGCCAAGCTCTGCATTTAATTTACTTCTTTATACTTTTTTTGTTACAGGTGGGGGGCGTAGCTCAGCGGCAGGGTGATTGTCCCAGCAAGTATGGGGTTCTAGGTCCAATCATGGCAGTGGCAAAAGAAAAATATTAACATTAGTTACAAAAAGTAAATATTTTATTTATTTATTTATTTTCTTTTTTGAGATAGGGTTTCTCTGTACAGCCCTACTATCCCGGAACCTGCTCTGTAGATCAGGCTGGCCTCGAACTCAGAAGGCTGGGATCAAAGGCATGCACCACCACCACCCAGGTGAATATTTCTAAAGCAGTTTACCTTGTCATCTGTCTATTCCTTAAATTGATACAGCTTTGTAAAAGTAAAACCTGGGACCATATGTTGTAAGAAAAGACTTGACTTTTGAAAGTTGTTCTGTGTCCTCTACATACCCATTGTTCTGGGTATACATCTAAACACACACACACACACACACATATAGGGATCTCTGTGAGTTCAAGGCCAGCCTGGGCTACCAAGTGAGTTCCAGGAAAGGTGCAAAGCTACACAGAGAAACCCTGTCTCGAAAAAACCAAAAAACACACATATAGATGTATACTATATATATATATGTGTGTGTGTATACATATGTATATATATGTATATATAATTTTTAAACTTTAAAAGACTCTTCTTTAATAATTTTTTTACAATGTGTTATCTGTCAACCTTTGCTTTCTATACCCATTTTTATGTAGTTACATGCCCTGAGTCATGTAAAATTGTCTTGGGCAAGAAGGCTCTAGCATATATTTATATGACAGTACACACCCTGAGACACAGACTTTCGGGGCCTAGACATCCATATTTTGAAGAGTGTGGCTCCAGTCATCCAGGAGCTGGACATTCACTTGTCACCTGGAAAGAAAGATTTCTGTCAACATCTTCCCAGGTTCTTCATCCCTTTCCTTCAAAATGAACTCTCTCTGCTCAGCTCAGGAGGCAGGAGGAAAGTCAAGAAAGGCAAAGACAGAAGGAGGCTGTTTCCCAAGACTTCCACTTTACCGGTGAAAGCAAATGTCTCATTTCTAATTAAATGCCAAGTGGTAAGGCCCTGGTGAGAGATGGGGTGCACTCTGGGACTGGGTGTGGCCACTGTACTGGGTTGTTAGTCTCAGGACTCTCCCAGCTGATCTTCCAGAAGCAATTTTCTCCTCAGGATCAGCATTATTGTGACATCAGGGCCAGGTGTCCCTCTTTAGGTAACTGCCTGAAGGAAATGCTTTGGATATGTGAGGAAAACAAATTAGGTCAAGAGGCTGGGCTGTGGTGGCCAGGAACTAGACCACCTGCCTTTCAAGACCCTGTTATCTCCAAGAAACTGTAGTTCTGACTTCAGACATGTGGTGGTATTGTGTTCCCCAAAACATCGTGCACCCTAATAAACTTATCTGGGGCCAAAGAACAGAACAGCCATTAGATACAGAGGCTAGAAAATGGTGGCACTCACACTTTTTTTTTTTTTAAAGATTTTTATTATGTATACAGAAAAGGATGCTAGATCTCATTACAGATGGTTGTGAGCCACCATGTGGGTGCTGGGAATTGAACTCACCACCTCTGGAAGAACAGTCGGTGCTTTAACCTCTGAGCCATCTCTCCAGCCCTGGCACCCATACCTTTAATCCTAGCATTCCAGAGGCAGAAATCCATCTGGGATCTCTGTGAGTTCAAGGCCACATTGGAAACAGCCAGGCATGGTGACTCACGCCTTTAATCCCAAGAAGTGAGCCTTTAATCCCAGGGAGTGATAGCAGAAAGCAAAAAGATATATAAGGCGTGAAGACCAGGAACTAGCAGCTTTTGGCTGGTTAAGCTTCAGGCTTTCAAGCAGCACAGTTCAGCTGAGAGCCATTGTGATGAGGACACAGAACCTTCTAGTGTTCTAGAAACAGGATCAGCTGAGGAACTGTCGAGGTGAGGAAGCTGTGGCTTGTTCTGCTTCTCTGATCTTCCAGCGTTCATCCCAATACCTGGCCTTAGGTTTGATTTTATTAATAAGACTCTTTAAGATTCGTGCTACACAGACATCTGAAGCAACATTGCCCTAGACTACACAGATATCAGTCCTAAACCAATACGCCCTGTCTGGGGAAGGCAGATGGATGGGACCTTCTGTCAGCAAAGTTCTTCACAGGTAGAAGGCCAAGACTGACAATGGTTGAAGCCAAAGAGAGAGGAGGCTTGGAGACCCGCGGAGGGAGGCAAATTCCCAGCCACTTCTTGTTCACTGACCTTTTAGAAATCAAATTTCATACCCTGCCTTTGCCGGAGCACTCAGCTCCCTCAAAGGTGGTGGTGGTGGTGGTTGGGGGAGGGGGAGGGGGAGCTGAGCTGGTTCTGCATCTTGCTGACTCACCCAGCCATCAGTACAGCCTATTTTATGCACTTTATACACTTGTCTTTTAAACGTGTTACAGGGCTGGAGAGAAGGCTCGGTGGTTAAGAGCACGGGCCGCTCTTCCAGAGGACCTGGGTTTGATTCGCAACACACACACACATGGCAGCTAGCTCACAACCATGTGTAACTCCAGTCCCAGACCACCTTGCGTTCTCTTCTGACCTCTATGGGTATTGCATGGCAATGGTGCACAGATACACAGGCAGGCCAAACACCCAGACATGTGAAAATATTAAAAGATTAAAAAAAAAAAAGTGCTATAAAATCCAGCCTATTTTGTCTGGACTCTGTTAGCTCTTTATGTTGCAAGAATGAAGCACAGCCATGTCTCCACCCAGATGACTCACGGGCTCTGAGGCCTGGCTGTTTTTCCAGACCTTCTTAGGGTGAAGCTGGCAGAAACCTGGTCAGGTGTTCCAAGGGCAGGCACCTTGTCCCATGTCCTGCAGGAGCTACAAACACTCCCTGCAGGCCGGGGGGTGGGGGTGGGGGTGGGGGACGACGGACGGACAGACAAACCTCTCTGTCCCCCTCCCCAGCAGCAGACCCTGTTTGGAGTTGTGAGGTGGAGGGTCGGAGGCATTTACAAGGTCCTATACACTTTGGAGGGCTCCCAAATTGACACTCTCCTGTTTTGAGAAGTCTGTCGTACTCATCCTTTAATGTGTGCGGCACGCGGGTTAAAACAAGCAAAGAAACTGAGGCCCCAAATGGTTTTTTTAATTGATTTTTTTTGGTTGAGGTACTCCTGTCCCTGTGTGAGTATAAGCACACATGTAGTCTCTGGATGCATGCACGTGTACACACGTGTAGAGGCCAGAAGAGGGTACCAGATGGCCTCCTCTATCGCTCTTGCCTATTCCTTCCGGGCAGGCGTCTTCCCTGCACCTGGGGCTCATTCAGCTAGATTGGAAGTCTGCGAGGCTCAGCCGTCCTTCCATCTCTGCCCCTCCTGGCGTTGGCATGTTGGGCTGGTTACGCGGGTGCTGGGATCCAGGCTGCAGCCCCACGACTGTGCAGCAAGTGCTCTTGACCACTGTTCTAGTTTCGTTTCTGTCACATGAAAAAGCACAGGGCAAATGCAACTTGGAGAGGAAAGGTTTATTTGATTCACAGCTCACAGTCCGCCATGGAGGGAAGTCAGGGCAGGAACTCAAGGAGGGACCTAGAGGTAGGAAGTCAAACAGAGGCCATGGAGGAGTGCTGCTTACTGACTTGCTCCCCATGGCTTGCTCATCTTTCTTTCTTATACCACCCAGGATCACCTGCCTCCCACATTAATCATTCATCAAGAAAAATGCCTCCCCGGCCGTGGCGCACGCCTTTAATCCCAGTACCCGGGAGGCAAAGCTAGGCGGATCTCTGTGAGTTTGAGGCCAGCCTGGTCTACAGAGCGAGATCTAGGACAGGCACCAAAACTACACAGAGAAACCCTATCTTGGGGGGAAAAAAAGCCCCACAGACTTGCTGACAGGCCATCTGTTGGAGGTCATCTTTCCACTGAGGTTCCTTCTTGCAAGATGACTTCTAGCTTGTGTCAAGTGGACAAAACCAGCCAGCACAGCCACTGACCCATCCCCACCCCACACCCAGCCCCCCAAAGGAAAGCTTTTGTGAAGCAGCATGGCGGGAATTATATCACTAGCATTGCCGAGACTGAGGCAAGGCAGAGATGCAGGAGAGAGGGACGGCTGGCGTCAGGTAAAGGGCCGCAGAGGTCGCACTGAGTGAGTTACCTTTGAACATAGACTGCTTCTCTGGAAGGAATCACTGCTTGGAGGCAGCTTCTGCCTCTCCCACTCAGCAGAGAAACACTTCCGGGCCTTGCCCTTCGGGTAAGGGGACCAGATTTTAAAAAGTCAGGTTTCCTTGCAAAAATATAAGCATTGTATGTATTAATGGGTTGTAACAAAAGCAAACTTAGACCATAATTACTTTTACGGAAGAGAATAATCCATGCACCAGTATTTACCGAGGACACTTTTGTTGGCTGTTTGCTGTGTGGCATCTGAGTCATTTGACACAAAACAGCTGCAAGACCTCTGCTCCCAGGACACGGTGGCTCTGCTGCCCGGAACCGTGTCCCAGTTTGATGTTTAGATAATTTATTTGTGCTGCCTGTGGCTGCATCGCGAGAGCCCAGAGCAAGACCACCACAGAGCCGATATCCGATGCAAAACACACCACACAGGCATCTATTGATCACAAGCAAACCCCGGCTTGGTCCGCGTCCAACACACTGGCTAGCCAGGTGAAGGAGGACGGCCCTGAGCTCCCAGGGTGAGGCGTTTTTAAAGGGAAAAAAAACACAAGCAGGGTGGTACAAGCCTCGGCATCATGTGATTGGGTGAAGGTATGTAACCTTTGAATTGACTGGTTGCGGTTACAGTTATCATTTTTGGGCAGGCCTGGACAAGTCCCAGGCTCTGTCCTTGCGCTGCCGTGGAGGCTGGCTGTCCTCGCATGTTCACACTGACCCATGCATGTAGCTTTAAGTTGGTGAGGGGTCCCACACAGTAAACAACTGGCTGAACCTTGAGCAGTCAGAGTACGTGCAGAAAGGGAGCTACTGCAAGGACTATGTCTTTTGTTCACAGTCCTCCCAGAAACTGCTTGCTCAAGTCTCAGGAAACTGAAATTGAGGCCTGATCTCTGAGAGAAGACTGGCAGCCTGTTATGGCATCTGCTTGGTCCTTTCATGCTGAAATGTGGTGATATTTTATTTGTGCTTTAATAAATAAAGCTTGCCTGGAGATCAGAGGAAAAAGCCAGCCTTTATAAGTCAACAAAGAAGTCAGGCGATGGTAGCACATGCCTTTAATTCTATCACTTGGCAGGCAGGGATCTGTCTGGATCTCTGTAGGTTCAAGGCCACACTGGGAACAGAACCAGGTGGTGGCACACGCCTTAAATTTCAACACTAGTTAACCATGGAGGCCTGGGGGTCTGTACAGACAGACAGGAAGTGACAGAGCTGGGCAGAAAGAGGAAGTGATGTAACTGGACAGAGAGAGCAAATCAGATGGCAGAACAGCAAGGCATATAGGTGTGGATGGACAGGAAGTATCTCACATTTGGAAGCTGCGAAGTTGGTGAGGTAAGGTTAGCTGTGGTTTTCCCTATTTCCTTGATCTCTCAGGTTTTAACCCTATATCTGGCTCCGTGTTTTTTAATTTAATAAGGCCATTTAGAAATTCATCTACAGTCTAGTGCTGACGGAATTTGTATAGCAAATGCTCCAGCCTACCTTGGAGAGTCTACCTGTCCTCTCCCACACGTCCCAAAGTGTCCTACTCGCCCTTTCTCTGGCCCCAGCAAGCAGCACAGACCTTCAAATTAACAGATTCAGAGTGTTGCCTGGCTTCTGACCACATCCATAGGTTGCTTTGCTTTTAATTTATATAATTTCTGACATACAGAAAAATGGCAAGTGGGGCTGGAGATATGGCTCAGTGGTTAAGAGCCTGGCTGCTCTTCCAGAGGACCCAGCGCCCACATGGCAGCTCACAACTGTCTCTAACTCCAGTCCCAGAGGATCTGACACCCACACATAGAGATACATACAGGCAAAACACCAATGCACATAGAATAAATAAATAAATTTTACAAAAGAAAAGAAAAAAGGAAAATGGCAAGCAAGAGCAATATGAGTAATTCATAAATATGTGTCTCACTGTGTAGTTCTGGCCACCCTCAAACTCACACAGAAATCTGCCTGCTTCTCTGCCTCTAGAGAGCCTGAATTAAAGGCATGCACTGTGTACTCCACTCAACCCAAGATTTATTTATTATATTTATTTACGGTTATGTTGAGTCTTGTGTGCACCACGTTTGTGCAGATGCCCACAGAACATAGAGGGTATTGGATCCCGCTGGAACTATAGTTACAGAGTTGTGAGCAGTCTGGTATAGGTCCTGGAAACCACTTACATCTGGGCCTTTCGGCAAGAGCAGTAAGCATTCTTCCCTGCTGAGTCACCTGTCCAGCCCCTCATATAATTCCTAACCCACAGTCACAGGGTTCGTTTTCTAGTTTAACAACGGAACGATAGTGATTCATTTATAAGGGAAAAGGTTTACTTTGACTCATAGCTTTAATGAAGTTAAGAGGGGGCTGGGCCCTAAGCTGCTTGAATTCACAGAGAAAAGCAGAAGGGCAAACGGATTCTTTGTAACAAGAAAAGGAACAAAAGGGGACAGAGCACATTACAGCTATCAGTCTTGTGAAGGCTAACGCATGCTCATGGGAACTCCATTCAGGAGAAAAGTGTCCATGACCCAAATACTTCCGGCAGGTCCCACCACTTCTCCAATCACTTAAGAGTGAGGAGAGACACGGTTTCCTTCCCCCATGAATGCTTCAGTGTGCATTTCCAAGGCCAAGAAAGGACGGACATTCTGTTTTGTTTTTGCTTTCTGAGATCTGATCAAATGTAGCCAAGGCTGACCTTGAACTTCTCATCCTTTAGTCTGTAGCTCCTAAGTGCTGGGATTACAGGTACCTACCACCTGTAATGTATGTGCACGAGATATGTCCCACCACATCTAGCTTTTAGGAAGTATGTTTTCTGCACAGTCACAGAGCAGGTAATTCGATTGGAATTAACCATTATTCTCTCATCTATTTCTCTGATTGCTCCAGGAATCTCCTTACTTTTTTTTTTCTCCTGAGTCTAGGACTAAATCCAAGACCACACAGCAGTGTTTTGTTTTGTTTTGTTTTGTTTTAGCCAGGTCTATTTATGCTCTTTTATTCTGGAACAGCTTGTGAGACTCTCTTTTTGTTTCCTGACTCTGGTGTTTTTCAGAGGATAGATCAGTTGTTCACAGAATGTCTTTGAATTTGGGCTGGCCTTGTGTTTCCTCATGAGTAGACTCGGGACATGCCTTTTGGGCAGGGCTACCACAGGAACAATGCTGCGTTCTTTGAGCGTATGATATTAGATACTAATCTATACGAAAATACAGCTGTTTAGTGACCTGATTGAAGCCTTGTTGGTCACTACCTGTGAGACACCCAGGTATGCTGGGAGCAGCAAATTAGGCAAAGGCTTGAGTTCCTGGGATAACGACCTGGTATTTATACAGAGCCCGCACACAGCCTTCCCAATGGCCTTGAAGTTGATACGCAGCCAAGGATGAATGTGAATTTCCAGTCTTTCTGCTTTCACTTCACAAGTGCCGAGGTATGAGGTGTGTTACCACTCATGTCTTAGAAGATGGCAGGTGTCTGCCTCAGGGCTTTGCACATGACAGACAGGTTCTCTACCAACTCAGCCATGTCCCTGGCTCTACTTTCTCTTCCTTCCTTTCCTGTTTTTTTGTTTTTGTTTGGGGGGAGGAAGGGAAACAAGATCTTGCTATGTAGCCGATGCTGGCCTTGGATTTGTGATTCTCCTTCATCAGTTTCCAGGGTGCTGGGGGCCACAGGTCCATCATCACTTCTACCTATAAATTTCATTGATTTTTTTTTTTAAATTTAATAGTTTGGGCTGAGAGATGCCTCAGAGGTTAAGAGCACCAGCTGCTCTACCAGAGGACCCAGGTTAAATCTCCAGCACCTACACGGCAGCTCACAACTGTCGATGATTCCCATTCCAGGGGATCTGACACCCTCTTCCGGCCTCTTTTGGTAGCAGCTACACATGTAGTATGAAGATATATAAGCAGTCAAAAGAACCATAAACAAAAATAAATAAACTTTAAAAAATAAAAAAGAAGCTCTTTCGGCCTTAGTGCCATCTAACGTGAAACTCCTGCTCCGTGAGATCGAAGTGGAGGGAGAAGCAAATGCCGAGGCTGAGGGGAAAGAGGAAAGATGAGGCGGAGGTCCACGTAAATTGTCCCGTGCACCCCCAAAGTCTGCAGCAGCAGAAAGAAGGGTGCTGAAGGCTGCGGCACTGGTACGAGTTGTTGGACTGAACGCTGCTGTCGGCAGTAAGTCTCAGTGGATCTGGGGCATCAGCGCCTGCACCCCAAGACCACACGAGAGACCGTCTGCCTTCCTTACAACCAGGACAGTTGGCCCTCTGCCCTGGCCCTCTGGCATCATGGATTACTTCTGTTCTCACTTGTGGTCAAGTGTAACTCACAAACAGTAAGTCACCTTTCTCAGGGTCTCAGCTGAAGAATGAAAATAAGTAAATAAAAAATTAAAAACAAGAAATAGTTTCTACATGTTAATAGCAAACTTATAAGAATAGAACAAGAGGGGCTGGAGAGATGGCTCAGAGGTTAAGAGAACCAGCTGCTCTTCCAGAGGTCCTGAGTTCAATTCCCAGCACCCACATGGTGGCTCACAACCATCTGTAATGAGATCTGGCGCCCTCTTCTGTATACATGATAAATAAATAAATCTTAAAAAAAAGGAATAATATAAGAGATGGACAATATTAAAAATTAGTGTTTTCTGGGACTTGAAAAGTTGCTCAGCTGTTAAGAGCACTTCCTGATTTTTCTTGTAGCCTCTGCAGAGGTGTATGTGTGCTTACACAAACACACAAACACACATGCACATACTGAGACATACATGCACACACAGAGACATACACACACATACAAACACACATGCACACATACACAGGCATACATGCACACACACAGAGACCCACAGACACACACACACACACACAGATATACACACAAAACAAAACTCAAAACCAAGCACTTCCACACAGGACAACCCTGAAAAGCACAGTGAATAGAGGAACTCTACTTTCTTACAAAAATGCCACCAATACCATTTAGTTGGTCTCAATACAAAAATGTACTTACGTTGAAAAACCCAAATCTTACACACTGAATTGTTAGCTCGATGCATGCACTGCTCTTACGGAGGACCTGAGTTCAGTTCCCAGCAGGGATGTCAGGCGGCTCACATCCACCTGCAATTCTCCGTGTCCACATGCATGAACACATACACATAATTAAAAAGGAAAGCTTTTGTAAAAATATCCAAATACAGGCACTGTTTGGAGACTTTTAGCAACTTTATTTTCTTTTTTTTTTAATTTTTTCCTATTTGATGTTCATTGGCGTTTTGCCTGCATGTATGTCAGTGTGAGGGTGTCAGAAGCCCTGAAAGTGAGTTACAGACAGGTGTGAGCTGCCATGTGGGTGCTGGGAATTGAACCCGGACCCTCTAGAAGAACAGTCAGTGCTCTTACCTGCTGAGCCATCTCTCCAGCCTCGCAATGTCATTTTCTAATTGTTGTAAGCTAAAACAGAAGCATTTTGCTTGCACTAATGTTTTAGTTTCCATATTTCTATTGCAAGCGCACACACAAATGCGTCTGGACAAATAGCCATTACTTCATCCTGGCTTCATGTTTTTCCACTCACGATGATACACGTAGGGACCTTAGGACTCCAGGGGGATAATCGAACAATTCAGAGCTGTGAAGAACAGGAAAAAGAGAGAGAAAAGCTTTCACAGTCCCCTGACCCTCTTTTTTTCTGTGTTGAGTTCAAACCCAGGGCCTCATGTAGGAGCCATACCGACTGGACCACTGACTCGGTGGTTGGGAGCACGTACTGCAGTCACAGAGGACCTGAGTTCAGCTGGGAACGGCTGCGAACTGCACCCCCGACCCCATAGCAGAGTCTACATGCTTTTCTCATCATTATAAGCATATTCGGCACAGACAGCAGAGGGCCAACAAAGCAGACCTAAAGGTCTGTCTGCAAAGGGCCAACAGCCAGGTTCTCCAAGGTACAGCTCTCTTTTGAATTCCTGTACAACCCCTCACCAGAGAGTTTGTGAATGCAATCACCAATCCAGGGCCTCTCACGCGCTAGGCAAGCACTCTGCCACTGAGCTACACTTCTGGCCCTTATTTACTTACTTGTTTTTTTATTTATTGAGACAGCCTTGAACTTTTGACTCTCCTGCCTCTGCCTCCCTAACAGCTGGCAACTGCAGGTGCAACTGCCATGTCGTGGCTCGGGGTTGTTTTTTGTTTTTTGTTTTTTTCCAAGTGGGAAGGTTCTCGTACATAGAAGCTTGCTGATTTGGTGACCCCAGGCCTGTAAGAGGGTATATTCTCCCAGCAGCGTTTGTAGTCCAGTGTTGCCTGGGTGCTTTACCAGTGATTCACCTGGGGGCTGTTCTGCTTTACAGAAACTCCCTTCTGCAGGTGGAGCTTGGCCCCAAGAGGCCGGTCCACACTGGTATTAGAGAGCAGTGGACCTGTGGTGGCTGCTTCACGAATCCTTTTAAGATTTGTTACCAGCCAGGCCCTGGTGGCACACACCTTGAATAACTGCTCTCAGGAGGCAGAGGTGGGTGGATCTCTGTGAGTTCAAGGCCAGCCTGGGCTACAGAGTGAGTTCCAGGACAGGCTCCAAAGCTACATAGAGAAACCCTGTCTCCAAAAACAAACAAACAAACAAACAAACAAACAAACAAACAAACAAACAAACAAAAGATTTGTTACCTAATATAAATAGCTGTTACAATGTATCATTTATGTAACGATGCAAGGAAAACTCTATGTTTAAAACAGATTCAATGTTTTGACACAATTAAGGAAAATATTTTTGCTCTGCAGCTGGTTGACTCCGAAGACCCAGACTCTGGGATGGAGGGAGCAGCTACGGTTGCCCCTTTTCTTACCAGACTTTCACTGGTTTAAGCATCTATTCTCGACTGTCCACCTCCATCATCCTGTGTTGATGGACATTTTATTGTAATGAAGGTCTCCCTCACCCTTGTTTATTGTTGCTTTATTGCCTTTTACCGAGTGATTTGTTTACTGAATATTACTGAACCAGTAAAGACTTTTATTCAGGCCACATTGCTTACTCTGATGCTTGTCCCACACTTGACCAACCCCTTCATACCGCTTTCCAGGGTCTTCCAGATCCCACTCAAACAACGGTAGCTCTTTGAGCACTACTTGCTTTCTGGTTCAGCCTTCACTTTCTGTACTGGCTGATTGTGTGTGTCAACTTGACACAAGGCAGAGTCATCAGAGGAAGGAGCCTCAGATGAGGAAATGCCTCCATGAGGTCCAGCTGTCAGGCACTGTCTCAATTAGTGGTCAATGGGGGAGGGCCCAACCCTTTGTGGGTGGTGCCATCCTGGGCTGTGGTCATGGGTTCTATAAGAAGGAGGGCTGAGCAAGCCAGGGGAAAGCAAGCCAGTAAGCAGCACCCTCCATGACCTCTGCATCAGCTCCTGTCTCAAGGATCCTGCCCTGTTTGAGATCCTGTCCTGACTCCCTTCGGTGATGAACAGCAATGTGGAAGTGTAAGCCAAATAAACCCTTTCTTCCCCAACTTGCTTTTTGGTCATGGAGTTTCATTACAGAAATAGAAACCATAACTAAGATAAATCCTAACCCAAATCGACAGCAAGATCCCCTGTTCCTTTAGTGAGGAAAGCTAGCTAGAAACTGATACCCTGAGCCACACCAGGTTCGGACTCAGATCAGGCTCGATCAGTCATCATCAGAGAAGGGATTCATCAAACCCCTCCCCTTAAGACTCCGGGAACTGTGCAGAAGAGGAAGCAGAAAGACTGTAAGAGCCAGAGGAGATGAAGGACTTCGAAGAAACAGTGTCTTCTAGACACAACAGGACGGATG